CACCCAAGATATGGAGGAACCCCTATTAACCCCTCCTTGTTAAAACTGAGCTTTTCACCCAGATGTTGGATCAGGATAGGAGATGAATTCAGCATTCATGTTCATGAGATATGGAGAGTTATGGCACCTGGAGGCATACAAGAACTTTTAATTTCACTGTAATTTATTACTTATAGATTTGATTGCTAGTTACCATATTTTATATAATATGAGGCATATAGATATAGTCCTTGACTTACAAGCATTCATTTAGTGACCATTCGAGGTTACCACAGCACTGAAAAAAGTGACTTATGAATGTTTTTACACTTGCAACCATTGTAACATCCCCATGGTCACATGGTCAAAATTTGGACAATTGGTTCATATTCATGATGATTGCCATGTACCGTGCACATGTGATCTCCATTTGTGATCTTCTGACAAGCAAAGTCAATGGGGAAGCCAGATTCGCTTAACAACTGTATTACTACCTTAACAACTAGATTATTTCATTTAACAACTGGGGGGGGGGAGGAGTCGTAAAATGGGGCAAAACTCACTTAACTGTCTCAATAAAGAAATTTTTGGGCTTAATTAGGGCTGTAAATTGAGGACTATTTGTACATTTAAAATAATTAAAATTAAATAAATAAATAGAATGATAACCATACAATCATTAATTGCTTTTATAGTAATGAAAAACAAGTACTCCCATTATAATTACTATAACAAAATCATGTTTTGGTCATTTTTATTTTCCTGCCTGATTGAACAAATCAATGGCATACACATTTCTCTCACCCATAGACTAGAAATTAGACTCTCTGACTGCTTTTGTATACAGGAACTATAGAAGCTGTTTCACTTCCATTCCACAAAACATGTGTGTAGAATAGGGACAAAAACCTGTCCACTTTAAAGGCTTTTGACAATATTTCAGCAACAGAAATGTATATATTTGAATTAGGATAATTTTATACCAAAAGATGCTTCAAAATGTGAATCAGTTGATATAAAAGAACAAGACTATTAGTTATGCAATGGGTTTGAGCAAAGTATTTTCTGGAGAGTCTTTGCTTTATTGTTGCTATGGACTATACAGTGAAAACTCTAATGAATTAGATTAAATTAGCATGTTGTTTAATGCTGTTAACATCCTATAGCAAGAAAAGTGCAATGAGGGCATATTTAATAATTCAAATGTATCACATCTGATTTTTGAATCAAGCAACCACTTCTGTTTTTCTATGGAAAGTTGTTTTGTCAAATATGGGTGCAGCAAATTGGTCCTTATAAAATGTCATTTTTCTTTCTAACGTGGAAACATATTTTAATTCACAGACTTGGCCGTTTGTGGTTTCAGGAAGACCAGAATCCGACACCAAAGATGTCCCAACAGCCAGCAGATTATGTGGAACTACAGCTTAGTTAAAAGTAAAGACTGCTCTTGCTGGGTATACTTACCAAGTACATTGTCTTCTATTGACCAAAGCAAACTGAAACAATGAAAAACAATTACACTATTTTTATATCCTCCACTTCTTCAGCTGGAAAGAAAACTGCACTTAAAATGTAACGTGTAATGTAACGTGTAATGTGAAGTAGGAAGGAGAGCTCTCCAAATTTCAGATAAAATGGTACCTTTAAAAAGGCATTTTTAATCATTTTCTAAAGAACAATTGTGACTAAGAGAAGACATTTAGGCAGATAACCGTTAAAATTAATAGCATGAACCAAATGATAGGTTATATGAAGTAACCCCAAACAGTGTTATTTGTATACCAAAGGAAAATAGTATTCTAGACTAGTCCTTAACACAAATTTATAATATATTTGATCTTATGTTCTTGGCAGCTATGTAATACTAAGACTACTTCTGTCACCTTAGACAGTTTCTTCTTAAAAATCAAAGACAAAAAGATTGTATCTGGTTGTTCCTTCACAGTCTATTTCACAAAAGTGTTAAATCAGATTACTTGTGTTTAAGACAAGTGTACACATAGCTAGGCAATTTGTAGGTCATGGATCAAAGTCATAGGCATATTCTTGTTGAATTGAGACAACTGATTCTACTCCTGTACTGTACTACAGAGTTTGAACTGTGAGCTTGCCTTATTCTGAAATAAGAAGCTTCTTTATTTTTGTCTAGGATAGATATATGTAAGTTGGCCTTTTATATCACAAGTGTTTTCTCTCGAACTTTTCTGATCCAAGGAATGCTAACTTTATACTGTTCTACACGCATACAATATTATAAATGTAAATAATTATATTTTTATACATTATATTAAAACCTTGATTGCAATGACATTTTGAGTGGTTGGTGATAGCTGGATAAAAATCATTGAAAAGTTCAATACTTTTTAAAGTTTATATTTATATGTGACTATGGATCTATGTACAACTGGGTCATTGAGTTTTTCCCCCTCTTTCTCCCCTACTTATTCTCTTTCTTTTAATGGTAGCCCTCTGATATAAACAGGGAATAGAGAGCACTCCGGAATGGTGTTTCATGGAAAATACATATTTTTTCTTGATGACAAATTAAACCTATTTTATGAGAAAGGAAGTTTGACGCTAATGTAATTTTGCTGTGAGCCATTTGAATACAAGCATACACATCATTACACAAACACACAAATAGATATTGTATTACACTAACTGGATACCCATGCTACGTTATGAAACTATGTGATTGGGCCAGCCCACAATCTGGATGACTCACGCACTGGCCACGCCCATGTAAGGTAACTGGCAAGAGTTCCTTTCAGGTGGAGAGGGGGATTATAATGTCTATATGGTGGGATTTCCCCTGCAAGCAGGGAGAAGTATGAACAATGGTAAGAGATGTTGGAAACTGCAGTTAAGCAATATTTAAATGACCACAAGTATCCTATGTCTCCACAGGAGTAAATCAGTTGTATTTGTGGTTTAAGTTAAGGGATGGATAATATAGATTCAATTGCAGCATAAAATATAATGGAGATGAAGCTGTTTTAAATGTATCTTAATACTTTAAATGATTTTGAAGTTCCAACTTTATGAAGACTAACTGAAGTAATGTTTTCCAGAAAGTACTTAAGGAATATAATGTAGGTGACAGGTAAGCTTAGGTATGCATTTCATAGATGGAAAGGTATGCTTTTGTATTATATGGTACTCGGTGGTAGAGACTGAAGCAAGACAGAATTGCTCAAAACAATCCCTTTATTGGGATAACAATTAACCATTAACTCACAATCAACAGCAAGGCAAAAACGATGACGAGAGAACAGAACCGCATCTGACAGCTCTTTCTAAAGCAGCAGCTGTCTGGTGCCAACCAATCAGCGAGCCATGTTCTTCCTGCTTTAGTTGATGCGGATCAGCCAATCAGCAACACTTTGTATGTGGCCACGTCTGCGAGGCAGTGGACACAACAATTTCATAGATGGAAAAACCACATAAAATATTTTTTTTTTCGTTTCAAAAGTTTTATTTTCTTTTAAAACAAACATTTCATCATTCCTCAATCAGTGAGTACAATTTTTTTGTGTGTCAAAATAGTTCTAGTTTACCACCAAATTCTTGTCTAGCCTAATGTATACCCCTCCCTCCCTCCCTGCTTCACATATTGTCTGTNCCAACAATTTTTGAAACACACCACTGTCTCAGTCTCTACTTAGACAGGAAAAGTCCAATCTAGCCAGATCTGATCTTGAATCCCAACCTTAAATGCAAAATAGTGAGCCTTCTAATAGTCAACAAGAGAATGTTGAGACAGGGAGCAGTGTTCCCCATTTTCAAGCATCAAAGCAAGCTGTCTGTACATAAATTAAAAATGGATTAAAAATGAAAGTAAAAAAAAGCAATTATATATAGTAGCCATTTCTCAATCCTTTTCTTCTTATTAAAATCCGAAGCAACAGTAGGGTAGTTAGAAGTCTGTGCTAATAATATTTATCAAAATCCTGCATGAACAAGACAGTGCTGTGCTTTCAGCACAAACAAGATAATTGCAGGATCTAAGCTTATGTTCTGGGGAGACTTCAGCTATTTCCCCAGAGAAGCTTCCAGGAGAAGAGAGGACTCGTAAACATAAGCCAACTGCAGATAAGGCTGCCCTTTTCCTGCTTCATGTGATAGGCCTGGTTGTCGTGCAGATAGAGTAGTGTTTGTGTTCCTTTTCTTTTTTCCTTCTTTTACATTTTCAAGATATATATATTATATTTCAGTTTATTTGTATGAAGCCTAAAGTATCTTAACAAATTTTATAGGCTGCACATTACATAATGTTTTATACCAGAATTACAACTTGTCCCTGAATTACACAACTAGTAGCATCATAAATTTGGAACCAAGAAATAGGGATAAAGGGGGGGGGGATGCCTTGTTATCATGTTCAAATTATTTAAAGTATATCAAGGAAGGAACTTTAGGGCCTCAGCATTAAGGAAACTTTCCCTTGGCTATACTTTCCATACGCAACACACAAACACAATCCTTCACTCAGTTATAAATCCTCTTCCCTTATACATTCAAATGAGAGCTGGGTATCTGCCAGGAGTTTGAACTATCTTCTTAAAATAAGTCACAGGTTTTATTTATAATATAAAATCCCCATGCATTCCCCCCACCCCCAAGGATAATCAGTGTGCTTCAACTACTCCACAGGATGGAGAGCCTTCATCCTACAANGAACCCGTACACGGTATGGATTTTTAACAAACACAGTCTAAAATCTATTGAGAAAAAAGAAATAAAGAAATTAATAACATCTCTACATTGAACTTATCTTCTTCTTGCTGAGCTAACTTTAAACAATTTAAACATGTTTTGACCCAACTATAACCATTGAGCCCTGAGAACAATAGGGCTATAAACAACATGATCAGTAATGCCTATTAATCTTGGGCAATTCTACTTTCTCTTGCTTTCATCTCAGCATTCAGAACGTAGTCTCTAACCCTGAATTAAAATAAGAGCAGTCATAGAACAAAATAATGGGCGAATCAGTTTGTTTACAATCCCTCTTATTCCTCTCAAGGTTTCCCAAGATTACATATCATTCTGGAAGTAAAGCATCTTTTAAAAGGAGAGAACATAGAGAAATCTGACCATTCCATGCATGGTTTATACCTTGCAACTTTTGAAATATGCAAGATTAGGAATCTTAGACACAAACTCACTATGGCACATTTCAGATTTGATTAACAGAAAGAACTATGTAAGTAAAACCATTGAATGCCACTTTAAAAAAATACCTAACAAAATCCAGTCTTGGAACTGAAAATATATTGTCTCAGCACTCCCAAAATGTGGGGTACAAAATATGAATGGTCCCACTTTATTGATTGCATAGGATCTAAATGCGATCTACTGCAGAATTAGACCAGCATCCAAGTAGCCCAGTATAAAAACAATCTTCATGTTAGACTTTAACTCAGCCTTCTACATTTTATCCTCCCATTTATTTATCTATTCATTTATGCATTCATTATTTCAATTGATAACCCTCTATCTCAATTTCCTATCTCTAGGCAGGTAAAAACACCATGAAACATATAACAATAAAAACAAATGTCATCAACCAAAGTTAAACAGATCAGCCAAGAATCCAGCAACATCGCGCTTGCATGAGCTGGCATATCTGGCCACATTCCATATCTGGCTTAGCAATAGCAATAGCAATAGCAGTT